TTACAGGCACGTGCCACCACACCCAGCTAATTTTTGTATTTTTAGTAGAGACAGGGTTTCACTATGTTGGCCAGGCTGGTCTTGAACTCCTGACCTTGTGATCTGCTCACCTTGGCCTCCCAAAGTGCTGGGATTACAGGAGTGAGCCACTGCGCCCAGCCAGGAGATTTATATATTTTCAACCCAATATAAAAACATTCTTTTAGAGTTTATATTTTCTTTAATTACTAATTGACCTTTGTTGTGGACACATTCAATTTTTCAAGTAACTGGCATGTACCTTACACCAAAACCTTTAGTATATAGCCTTCAGTAGTCTGTAGCTGTGAAACTCATACTCATTTATCTGTTTAAGTATTCTCAAAATAATTATACCTGTGTGCCAGCCACCTGCTGTCTGACTTTGCAGTTTCTCTATTCCAAGTTTATTTTTCTGCTTTTTAGAAAACTCCCACTTTGCAGTTTGCAGCTAAGGCAGGAGCTGAGTTCCCTTCTCTTGTTAAGTGGTCTTATCAGGCAGTTATGCCATTGCCAAGCAGCACTAAGTGCCCTACTCTCAGATGTTAGCTAGTAGGTAGGGTTGGCAAGGGGAGCCTGGCAGGCTGTGAAGAAGTAGACCACTGTCTCTCTGGCATAGCCCTCAGGGTCAGGTCTTGCCATGGATTCCATCCTATGGCTCCGTGTGACTTTCCTGAATGGAATGCGTTTGTTTTTTTCCAGCTCTGTTCTTTCCATGTTCTTCCCACATTAGCTGGCAGCAGGCAGTTGATTCTGAATGCTGCCCACAAATTGTTAGCTATTTTGCTTCATGTTCCCTCAATTTGCCCCTTGAATAAGGAATTGATGTGTTTCAGATCCAGGATTATGTTGCTTAGTGTAGCAAATCTAATCCTTGCCAAGGAATGCCTAAAGTTGAAGGCTTGATTCCAGAAGAAAATAAAATAACAGCAGCAGTACCTGTAATTAACATATATTACCTGTTTACTATGTGCCAGGCATTATATTAAGCAGGTTGCATGTATTAGCTTAGTTAATCCCCAGCATCCCTTTAAAGTAGGTTCGATTGTTGCCCACATTTTCCAGATACGGAGCCATAGGAAAGTTAAATAACCTGTTCCAGGTTATACATTGAGGGATAGTTCCAAGATTTTGAATCTAAGTAGCTTGATTTCAGAGTCCTTGTTTTCAATGCTATATTCAGTTGCTAGGCAGTTTTTTGGAAAAGGGTGTCATTCTGTTGCACAGACTGCAGTGCAGTGGCAGAATCATGGCTCACTGCAGCCTTGCTAGGCTCAAGCGATAGGCCTAGGCTCATGCAATCCTTCTGCCTCAGCCTCCTGAGTGACTGGGACTACAGGTACGCACTACCACACCTGGCTATTTTTTTTATTTTTTATAGAGATGAGGTCTCACTGTGTTGTCCAGACTGGTCTTGAACTCCTGGCCTCAAGCCATTCTCCTGCCTCGACGTCCCAAAGTGTTGGCATTACAGGCGTGAGCCACCATGCCTGACTCAGAGCTTCACTTTTCAATGTCTTCTGGAATCTTAACTCTCACTGAAGAGTAGACAGGAGTTTGATGTTTTAGTTTATTAAAACTTCCTTGTACGTGCCTTCTAAGAACAGATTATAGTCAATGCAGTTTTTCCTGAAGAGATAAGATACATTTCTCTTTAAAATTTATGTATGTATTTATTATTTATTGTACATATTTATGGGGTACATTTGCTATTTTGCTACATGCATACAACATGTAATGATCAAATCAGGGTAATTAGGATAGCCATTAGCCCAAAGATTTATCATTTTCTTGTGTTGGTGACATTTCAAACCTTCTCCTTCAGCCATTTTGAAATATGTAATAAATTGTTGTTAACTATAGTCAACAAAAGGCATTACTACTAATACAGATATTTCTTGACTTATGATGGATTATGCCCCAGTAAACCCATTAAAAGTTGAAAATATGTTAAGTCTGAAATGAATTTAATACACTCTATTGTTATTTACCCATGTGATTGTGTGGCTCACTGGGAGCCACAGAATCTCTGTTTACCATAATAAAGGTCCTGTTGCTTCAGAATACAAATGAAATTTAGAGTGAGTGCCTCGCGAATCAGGGAGGCCTGACTCTATGAATCCGTGTGACCCAGTACTCTCTTGGAGGTGAAAGAGTACAAAAATTTCATAAGTTAACCTTGAAGGCCACCACTCTCCTTTCCCCAGTTATATTGTACATGCGATCAATCAGTAGGGGGTGGGTAGAGGTGGAAGATTTCAGCCACAGGCCCTAGACAGTTGATGCCCTATGTTATTAAGATAAATAAATTCCACCTTTTGCACATCATGGCATGCACAGAAAGTTGAGATTGGAGGTGATCCCTTATCACTTGTAACCCATTTCCAACACACCTGTTTGGAAGTTATTTTTTTTCTTTTGAGACAGGGTCTCATTGTGTTGCTGGCACGATCATAGCTCACTGCAACTTCAGTCTCACAGGATCAAACTATGCTTCCAGCTCAGCCTCCTGAGTAGTTAGGACTTACGGGCACATGCTACCGTGCTCAGCTAATTAAAAATTTTTTTTTTAGTAGAGATGGGGTTTCACCATGTTGCTCAAGTGGTCCTGAACTCCTGGACTCAATCAGTCTGCCTGGCTTGGTCTCCCAAAGTGCTGGGATTGTAGGTGTTTGGCAGCTCTGCTATGGGTATATGTCTCAAAGTTTCTAAGCTTCTTATATTTATGAAAGCATTCTGTACACTACAAGGTGCCATTCACATGTAAGATTTTATTAATAATGACTATTAAGATCCAGCGATTTGTTCTAGAAGGAGACATTGTGTACCATGGTTTTTGTTTGTTTTTTTGTTGTTGTTTTGGGAGCTGTCCTGAGAGAAGCAGGAGCAGATGCTAGACCAGTTGTGGTGTTATGGTCTTGTATGTGATCTAGCGTAGTAATGAGGAGAAGTGGAAATGCAAGTGGTCAAGGGTTAGATGGTCTAAGACTTCTTATAAAAGACCAAGTAGCTGATGAGATTCTCATTAAATTCTCTACCTTCTTCTCTGCCTGTCCCAGTTCTCTCTGTAGTGAAATTCTGCTTTCTTTGTGAAGTCTTTTCCAAACTTTTCTACTTCTTCTCCTATAGGTGAAGGTCATTCGGCATCCTCTATTCTATTATTATACCTGATACTTACATTGATTGCACTTCCAATGCTGTATTGTTTTCAGTTCCACACATCTTTTTTCCTTATTAGACTGTGATCTCCTTGAAGTTTAGGCTGTGTCTGATTAATCCTTGTAGCTCTAGCCACACGCAGCTTGTTTTGGCAAGCCCTCATTAGGTAGGGCTTGAATGCCCTTTGAGTACAGCTGAAATTTTCTCCCTGTGCTTTTCTCCCATGAATCCTCATTCTAACACCAGAAACAACTTCAAACAAAGTTACTTTCATGCCAGCCATTTATACATCTGAATAATCTGCCAAGTATGGTTCCACACAGTCTTCACTTCTCTGAGCTAAACATTTTTACTGTTGAAATTTTGTTTCCCTGTTTTTTTCCTCAGTAAGTACTGTATACATTTCCTTTACCTCTCTGGTGCATAGAATCTTAGAATTTTAAGATTTGGAGAGGACTGAAGTTCGACTAGTCTAGACTCTTCATCGAACCAGTATTGCTTCCATACTGATTAAGTAAATGAAACTGAGATATAGACATATTTTGGAACAACACAAATATTTTTAAGTACTTCACTGAGGAAGTTTAGATTTAGTAGATTTTTAAAAGTCCTTCATCTTTCATTCTGCATTAAAATGTATTTGCTGATGAGTATCTTATTAAAAAGGGGCACATTGGAAATATATGTTTTATGCTGCAGTGCCTACATGCTAAAGAAAGATCTTCAGACGCTTTTTTTTTTTTTTTTTGGAGACAGAGTCTCTCTCTGTCGCCTAGGCTGGAGTGCAGTGGTGCCATCTTGGCTCACTGCAACCTCCACCTCCCAGGTTCAAGTGATTCTCCTGCCTCAGCCTCCAGGGTAGCTGGGACTATGGGCACGTGCCACCACGACTGGCTAATTTTTTGAATTTTTAGTAGAGACGGGGTTTCACCATGTTAGCTAGGATGTTCTCGCTCTCCTGACCTCGTGATCCGCCCATCTCGGCCTCCCAAAGTGCTGGGATTACAGGTGTGTGCCACTGCGCCCGGCGCTCTTCAATAATCTTATAACATTATTAAGAATTTGATTCTAAAGCCAAGCTACCTAGGGTTCAGTCCTGCGTCAGCCACATGCTAGTTGTAAATTACTTAACCTTGGGTTAATTATGTAATCTCTGTGTGCCTCAGTTTCTATATTTATAAAACAAGGTTAATGATAATGTGGGTGTTAGGAGGTTTAAATGAGATAGTACTTGCAAAGCACTAAGAATTATGCCTGGTCCATAGTAAACATTCGATATATTGTAGTTCTGCTACTGCTGCTGCCACCACCATCCCTGCTACTACTATTACTATTATTGAGTTCTATAAGCACCTGGTGAGATGTGAAGAGCCCCTGTAAAACTTCTTACAGAACCTTAGTAAGACACCATGTACTTACGATATAAGCTTCTTGCCTTTTAAAAATTCTTTTATTTAAAGCAAGCTTCGTGTCTTAATGAGAGGCCCTACATACCACTCTGCACTGAAACATGATTTAACCCAGACCATAACCACATCTGTGGAGTAATGAAGTATTTTGTCATAGGATTTTACCATATAAGCAGTTTAAGCAATGACAGAAGACCCATTAGCTTTTGGAGTCTGTTCCTTTGAGACCAACTTGCTAGGAATCCATTTCCTATCTTTTTAAAGAGGGTAAATTAATTTTCCTCATTGACATTCTGTAAACAAAATACTGGCAGCTTATATTTTATGGAATGTAATGTTTTAAAATGAATCTAATTTTTCTTAGTAAACTGCTTTTAATAATGCATCAGAGTAAACTTTTTCCTTTGTTGTCAGGTTGCTATCAAGATCATAGATAAGACCCAGCTGGATGAAGAAAACTTGAAGAAGATTTTCCGGGAAGTTCAAATTATGAAGATGCTTTGCCATCCCCATATCATCAGGCTCTACCAGGTAGGCTCATTAGTGTATAGCAGGTAGCTGCAGAAAACCCAGGATATTGTATGTATGGCTTCCTTTGAAGAAATGCGGGTGGGTGAACATTTTTTGTTTCTATGTTAATCCTACTAATGTTTCCCACCCTTCTGTTTGCCCACTCAGCACTTACTATACTCAAGCTTCCCCTGGCCATTTACTAGTAAGTTTTCCTTACCCAAGTAGGTCTTTTTAATTTGTTCTTTAAAATTTGATGCCATTCTTAGCAAGAACTGAAAAAAAAGATTAATTCAGAAGATGAGAATTTATTTTATTTCATTCGGAATTCTAAAACAGGATGGGAAACCCAAAAAGAAGAGAATTTAGAGAGGTGAAAAGTTAGAGATGATTGTAACATTATTTTTTTACAGCATTATTTGAATACTAATTTCTGTGATCATGTTATAAATTGTGATGGCAAAGGATATTTTCAGTATTGCTTCTTGCATCAATCAGAACCTACCTGTTTTCTATTCTAATAGGATCCTGATTTAGTTTTCCAAGGTAGTAGTTAATTATTTTTATAATCAAGAGACCAGATCTCTCCAATAGGAAAGATTTCTATTTTAGTTTTTTTTGTCTACCCAGGAAACATGCATATTTCATGCCATCATCAAAATGATTTCCTAGCCTAACTACAAAAGTAGTCAATCTGATGGCTGGAATTTCAAACTGGATAGGAGGAAAGGACTTTGCCTTAGCGGGCTGGTGGAAGAGATATTTTGGGAGAGGTGGGGCTTCAGGATGCTTCTCAAATTGCAGTGTGTTGGCAGCGGAGAACTTTGCCTCTGCATGAGCACAACTCTGCTTGCTACTTTCTGCCAGAACAGCCGTCTCTTAGTTCTGAAGGAAGTGGCCACCCACTCAGTTCATTTGCCGCTGTTAGTCTGCAGTAAATGGTTACTGGCCCAGACATAGGACCACGTGTAAGAGTGGAGAAAGTACACCCAAAGCACCATGTGCAAGCTTTCATACCCTATTAATTTTATGGAAAAGAAAATATGTTGTGTTGTTAATATGCGTGGTTACAACTACAGTATTAGAGCTCTTCCCTGGCATCAGCTGCTCACATAATGAAATTAGGTCAACAGGAGCAGACCTGTTGAAATTTATCAGCCTAAATTATGTTGAACAACACCTACGTTCTGCCCCACAAGCAAACTTGTGAAAGCTTCCTGATGTTGCCTGAAGAGCTGTATCTGTGAGCTTGCAGGTGACTAACATCAGCTTTCTGCCTATCCTGATAGACTGAATACATTTCTTGACCTTACATCTTAAAATAAATCATCTTTAAATACTTGTGGGGCTTAGGCTGACCTTTCTCAAGAGGTTGACTTGTAGGTATTACCCTTGTAACTGAATTCTGCAAGTTTGCCTGTCTTACTCAAGATTAGCCTGTGAGAATTTTCATAGGTCCAGTGCTGGCTTTGAGCATTGACTTTTTTCAAGCTTTAATTTTGCTTTCTGGCAGCTAGGTTTTAAATTTTTAAAAATTTTTATTTGTTTATTTATTTTTGAGACAAAGTCTCACTCTGTTGCCCAGCCTGAAGTGCAGTGGCATGATCTCCACTCACTGCAGCCTCCACCTCCTGGATTCAAGTGACTCTCCTGCCTCAGCCTCCCAAGTAGCTGGGATCACCGGCATGTGTCATCACGCAGAGCTAATTTTTGTATTTTTGGTAGAGATAGGGTTTCAACATGTTGGTCAGCCTGGTCTTGAACTCCTGACCTCAAGTGATCTACCCACCTTGACCTGTTAAAGTGCTGGGATTATAGGTATGAGCCACTTTGTCCAGCTTATTTTTGTTTTTTATGGATAGGTTCTCACTCTGTCACATAGGCTGGAGTGCAGTGGGACCAACATGACTCATTGCACTCAAGTAATCCTCCCACCCAGCCTCCTAAGTACCTGGGACTACAACCACCCACCACTCTGTTTTTCTTTGATGATTTTGATTTTTAGTAGAGACAAGGTCCTACTATGGTCTGGTCTCGAACTCCTGGGCTCAAGCAATCCTCTTGCCTTGGCCTCCCAAAGTGCTGGGATTACAGGTGTGAGCTACTGTGCCTGGCCTATTGTTAATGGGAGATTGTGAGCTGCCAACGTGAATGCCTGTGAATTGTCATGATTTGGTATCAGGGTAATTTTCAGGTCATTCTCCTCAGATTTATCGAGTGAGCAAAAATGTACAGGAAACGACAGTTTTCGAACTCCTGAAAAGTTTAATAATAAAATAATATTTGCAGTCAATAAAAGGCTTGGAGAGAGATATACAACTGACATTTTTTTTTCCATTTTTTTTCTAAACAATTGCATATGTTTACTTTTTGTCATAAATTAACATGAGAGAGCTCAGAAGCAATACACGGGCTTATGTTTTCGGTATATATAGAGTTTTTAAAAAGGAAAAAGAAGGAAGAATAAAAAAGAACAACACAGCTATTAGATTGGAAAATTAAATTAGTATGTACTCATACAATGGAATACTATGAAGCAATTAAAAAGAGACAGATCTGTATAACACATGATACTGTTATATGATATTAATTCAGAAAAAGCTAAAGTAACTAGGAATTAATTAACTGTGAAGTGTACTGAAAGTCTGTAACTGTATTGCTCAATATGGTAGTTACTAGCCACATGCAGCTGTTGAGTATTTAAATGTGGTCAGAGTGACTGAGGAACTGAATTTTTTTTTTTTTTTTTTTGAGATGGAGTCTTATTCTGTAACCCAGGCTGGAGTACAGTGGCGCGGTCTTGGCTTACTGCAGCCTCTGCTTCCCAGGTTCAAGCAATTCTCCTGCCTCAGCCTCCCGAGTAGCTGGGATTACAGGCGCCCACAACTGTGACCAGTTAATTTTTGTATTTTTGGTAGAGATGGGGTTTCACCACATTGACCAGATTGGTCTCAAACTGCTGACCTCTGGTAATCTGCCTTCTCGGCCTCCCAAAATGCTGGAACTATAGATATGCACCACCTTGCCCAGCTGGAACTCAATTTTTAATTGTATTTAATTTTAATTAAGTGTAAAACTAAAAGTTAATAATTTTTTTTAATTGTTGAAATAATATTTTGGATATATTGGAGTAAATAAAAAATATTGTTAGAATTATCTTCAGCTTTTCCTTTTTCCAATGCAGCTTCTAGAAAAGTTAAAATTATATATGCAGTTCATATTATATTTCTGTTGGACAGCACTGTTCTAGAAGGATATACGATAAGCAGTGACCAGTGTTCCTCTGGGGATTGAGATGGAGGCCATTGGGAAGAGGAAAGCCTTTGGTCTTTTGTTTTATAATGAGTGTATATAGTCATTATTACATTTAAAACTGTTTGATGGAAAATGTGAAAAGGAAGAAAGTACTGACAGCATACTACAGTGAATTTTAAAAAGGAGCCACATAGGGACCAAAACAAAATACAAATCACTTTATGTTACTTTAAAAGGTTGAATATTTTGGCCAGGCATGGTGGCTCATGCCTGTAATCCTAGCACTTTGGGAGGCTGAGGCAGGAGGATCATGAGGTCAGATTGAGACCAGCCTGACCAACCTGGTGAAATCCCATCTTTACTAAAAATGCAGAAAAAATTAGCTGAGCGTGGTGATGCGTGCTTGTAATTCCAGATCCCAGGAGGCAGAGGTTGCAGTGAGCTGAGGTCACATCACTGCACTTCAGCCTGGGTGACAGAGTGAGACTCCATCTCAAAAAAAAAAAAAAAAAAGAAAAAAAAAAAGTTGAATATTTTAAATTACTGTTATCTTTTTTTTCAAATAAATGGGCGGTGGAAGCGAAAGTTATTTCTGTTGAACAAAGAAAGCCATATGTGATTTCTGTGGAGTTCTAATGTGATTCCCTCCTCCTTTTTTTTTTTTTTGCTTTAGTTTTATTTATTTATTTATTTATTTATTTTTAATGGGAGATTTTTGTGCGTCAAGTGCTTGATGTTGAATCTGAAGCTTAAGTTTTGGTTCTTGGCAACTTCTTTGCCTGTCAGTTTTATGGAGCTTAAGAGAGTGCAAAGACCTCATGGAACATCAAAAGAATCTCTTTCAAGCCATGAATGTTTCCTACTTTTAAGAACTTGGAGGAGTATCTATTTTTCCCTTCTTAGTAATATGTTTGTTTCCTTCAAAATGTTTTAAATTTTCTTTAATCCATAGTGGTTATTAATATTTCACATGAGAAAAGAGGAGTCATTAGTTTCTCTTCCTGTATCAGCCTGTCATTTGTGTCACTGTCTGTCACTTTCCTGCCTTTGCACCAGGTTATGGAGACAGAACGGATGATTTATCTGGTGACAGAATATGCTAGTGGAGGGGAAATATTTGGTAAGTACATTTATTGCATTCTTTAAGCAGCTATTGAGCACACTATGGCAAACCTAAAATAGCTGTCCAGTGCCTTTGTCCCTTGAGCAGCTGTCAGTTGGTGCTGTTCTTTAGTCCTGTCATTTTCTATCGACAACAAAGTAATTTTAATTTGTTTCGATTAATCTAGTAGAATCCCTTCAACAACACATTTGTTTCCTTAGCAAAGGTGTTTTGTTTATTTCAGTCAGGTGCTGACAGTTGAGATTAAAGATCTCCAAAAACAAGCATCCTTTCTGAACATGGGACTGAGGGTCTTTCTTGTTAGCAGGTTTTGGCTGAGGTTACCAAGTGCGACAAAACTCCCACAAGTGTGCAGGCCTCTGCTGTGTGAGAAAGAGCCTCTTGGAGCAAACAATCTCACCTGAATGAATTTCTTAAACTTTGTTAAACTGTAGCGTGTAACTGTATTATTTACCATGTGTTGATAGTTCCCCTCGATGATTCTTGTAATTTTGGGGGTTCTGCCTTCAGTGGCTATTTTTTCCTCTCACACTTAGCTTTAGCACAATGTCAAATAAGCAGGAGACTTTGTTACTGACAGATCTGATTTTTAAGGTGGTAAAAACTGACAAAAAGTTTTTTTTTAAATAACAATGATAAATGGAGCCAAGTAGAGTTAAAGGGTAAATTTCCAATTCTAAATTGATGTGTCTTTCATTTTTTCTTTTGGCAACTAACTACAGAGAAAAGTTTCTTTATATACCTTAGGTTTGTTTAATTTCTTTATTCTTAAACAATTTATAAATATGAACACTTATTAATTTAAATTTTTAAAAAAATATTAAACATTTGCTCCTTCCTGCATGCCGATAAAATGTATTTGAAAGCATGGAATGACTTGTAAAATGGAATCTTCTTATTAAAGACTAGTCACTTGTGGCTGTATGGGTGTGTGTGTGTGTATGTGTGTATGCACATTTTAAAGTTTACCTAGCGATCTAATGTTTTTTTGGTGTCACAGTATCTTTAGGATAAGTACTAGTCCTTTTTAAAAGAGGTATCATTATTTCTTAATTGGCTTTGTCTATATGATTAGTTTATGTTAAAGCTAATGGTGATAGAATAACATTTATAATCAATATAGTATGGGAGGGGCTACTTTATTTCAAAGAAATGAAAGCATTACAAGATTTGAAGAATAACATTGTTTGTCAAGAAGGTATGGTAACCCTTCATTATGTAGGATAATTATATGCCAATCATGTTCCTTGGAGATACTGACTCAGTTAAGACACTGGTTTTCCTTTCTGTGGAGAAATCTGATGGAAACAGTCAGGGAAATCAACATATTACTTTGAAGATGAGAATGGAAACTGTAAAACTCAGATGGCAGTTTGGTTAACTTTTGGAGATCAAGGTCGTCTTCCTGGAGGGCACAGTTACATGGAAATTTATGAACCAGAAAGTAAAAGCATGAGAGAGAATATTTGGAGAGAGAGTAATAGCAGTCATGTTATTGGGAGACTATACTGTGGTCTGACATTCCAGGCACATGTTATGATAACCCTGCCTTAATTAAGATCACAAATGTATACAAAGGCAAATAGAAAACTTTTATTATCTAGATAATGCTTCTTCTTTGGACAAGGTGTTGCTCTGTTGCCCAGGCTGGAATGCAGTAGTGCAATCTTAGCTTACTGCAGCCTCAAACTCCTGGGCTGAAGCAATCCTCATGCCTCAGCCTGCTGAGTAGCTGAGACTATACGTGTGTGCTACCACACCTGGCTAATTTCTAAATTTTTAGTAGAGATTGGGGGGCAGTCTCACTATGTTGCTCAGGCTGGAAGACACCTTTTTTCAAGTTTTATTCTATAAAAAAATCAAACACTTCCCAAGTCCTTGAGCTGCCTGTTAGATATTTTATATCATATAAAGATATTTATTGGTGGAGAAACAATGGTAATTTGGGGAGAAAAAAGATCATGTCATCACATATATATCATATATATTATATATCATTTACATTATATATATTATGTATATATTATATTTTTTATTGCACCTTAGGTTCTGGGGTACATATGCAGAACATGCAGGATTGTTGCATAGATACCTACATGGCAATGTGGCTTGCTGCCTCCATCGCCCTGTCACCTATATCTGGCATTTCTCCCCATGTTATCCCTCCCCAACCTCCCTACCCCCCACTGTTCCTCCCCTATTCCCCACTAACAGACCCCAGTATGTGATGCTCCTCTCCCTGTGTCCATGTATTCTCATTGTTTAACACCTGCCTATGAGTGAGAACATGTGGTGTTTGTTTTTCTGTTCTTGTGTCATTTCTGCTATAATCTTGGTTATTTCCTTCTTTCTGCTTGTTTCAGGTTTGTTTTTCTTCCTCTCTAGTGTCTCGAAGCAAGCAGAAAGAAGGAAATAAAGATTATAGTAGAAATGATGAAATAGAGAATAGAAAAACAATGAAGGAAATTAATGAAACCAAAACATGGTTCTTTGAAAAGATTGACAACATTGACAAATCTTTATCCAGATTGACAAGAGATAAAAAAAAGAGAAGACTGAAACAACTAGAATCTGAAATGAAAGAAAGGGGCATTACTAACAGTCCCTTAAGAAATAAAAATGGGCTGGGCATGGTAACTCATCCCTATAATTCCAACACTTTGGGAAGCTGAGGTGGGAGGATCGCTTGAGCCCAGGAGTTCAATATCAACCTGGACAACATAGGGAGACCTCATTTCTACTAAACATAAAAAATTAGCCAGGTGTGGTAGCATGAGCCTGTGGTCACAGCTACTCAGGAGGCCAAGGCAGGAGGCTCACTTGAGCCCAGGAGGTTGAGGCTATAGTGAGCCATGATCGTGCCACTGCATTCCAGCCTGGGCAACAGAGCAAGACCTTGTCTTAAAAAAATATATAAAAATAAAAATGATTATAAAGGAATTTTATGGACAACTGTACATCAACAAATCAGCTGGGCTTTGTGGCTCATGCCTGTAATCCTAGCATTTTGGGAGGCCAAGGTGGGTGGATTGCTTGACCTCAGGAGTTCAAGACCAGCCTGGGCAACATGGTGAAACACTGTCTCTACAAAATAATAGAAAAATTAGCCAGGCATGGTGGTGCACACCTGTAGCCCAGCTACTTGAGAGGCTGAAGTGGGAGGATCATCTGAGCCTGGGAGGTACAGGTTGCAGTGAGCTGGGATGGTACCACTGCACTCCAGCCTGGGCAACAGAGTGAGATCTGTCTAAAAAAAAAAAAAATCAGATAACTTAGATAAGATGGAATTTTTAGATAAGAATAAATTTTTAGAAAGATACCAACTGTTGAAACAATTGAGTTAAGAAGAAATAGACAGTTTAAATAGACTGATATCAAAGTAAAGAGGTTGAAGTAGTAATAAAAAAAAAAAAAAAACTGCTCACAAAGAAAAGCCCAGCCCAGATGGAATCACTGCAGAATTCTACCAAACATTTTAAGAACAATTAATAGCAATTCTTTATGTCTTCTAAAAAACAGAAGGAGGAACACTTTCCATCCATTCTGTGTGTCCAGTATTATCCTGATCCCAATACCAGACAATGACAATACAAAAAAATTATGGACAATATGGCATAGATGCAAAAATCTTCAACAAAATAGGTACGACCTAAACCCAGCAATATATAAAAAGAATTATACGTTGTGGCCATGTGGGATTTATCCCAGGAATAATAAAGATTCCTGGGATTGGCCAGGCATGATGGCTAACACCTGTAATCCCAGCAAATGTTATTCCCTCTGTGAATGCTGCTCTGATTTTGCCAGATAGCTAATTGCCTTTTTCTTTTTCACTTTGAATGTATCTCTTTATAGCACTTTTTGAAGTAATTTTTTTTTCATTTCTAAGTCTCTTTTACTGGTAATCTAGACTCTAGTCCCTTGACCTACCACTTTTCTACTGATAATTCTGCCAGATCTCCCTCATCTTCCTTACGTCTAAATTTTGGAATGTTCTGGCTTCAGTCCTTGGACATCTTTTCTTCTCTATGCCTATCTACTCCCTATTTGATTATATGATCCATTAAGCTGTTGACTCCCAAATTTTCAATCTTCATCGTGCATTGTGACAGCTCCTCTGAAGTCTAGCTTGTATGTCCAGCTGTTTCTTGGACATCTGCACTTGAGTATCTCATAGCACTTTAAACATTAGCAAAACTGAACACTTGATTTCTGCTTACCAGCTTTCTCTTTTCATCCATCTTCCCCCTCTCAGTAAGGGCAAATTCATTCATCAAGTTACACCAAAATCTGTTTGTTTTTTTTTTTTTTAAGGAAAAAAAAGAAACCTTTTAATCTTTGGCCTTTTAACCATCTCATACAAACCAACTACTTATAGTACAGCTAAGTACATACACAACAAAGGTACTGGAGTGCTCGGAATACGATTGTTTTTCTGTTGTCGTTTTCGCTTTTTTTTTTTTTTACAAGGTTTTTTTTCTCCTTTGAGATTATGATGAACATGGTCACACCACAAGTAAAGTCAGAAGTAGGACAGAGAACGCTCCGAAGGCTGGTTTGGTCATCCGAGATCATTAAAAATGGCTGACCCTAACAATATGTACAAAAATATAAAATGTAAATAAAAAATACAAACAAATTTCCTTTTTAAAGTACTTTTAAGAAAAAAAGCAGGGCCTTGGAAGTTTTGGTTCTTTTTTCCTCCCCTGTTGCAAATTCTCATGGTTTGGGTTGGGTAGTGGAGAGCGCGTCGTGTCATCCGCGGGTGGCACTGCCCGCGGTGGGCGGGCGGGCCGGCCTCTCTACTCGAAGGTCACCACGTTTCGATTCTGAGACGGGAAGTGGAAGGTGAATAGGTCACGGCGGCCTTTTTTTGTTTTTTGTTTTTTAGTTTAACTTTTCCTTTTTTGCTGTCTAATCATCCTCGTCGGTCTTCTGCTTCTTGGTATCGACATCATCATCCTCATCATCTTCAGCTGCCCGCTTGCCCGTAGCAG